ATTTTATAAAAATTGTAGTTTTTTTCTAAAAATCAATTCTAGTTAATTTTGAACTCCTCAACTTTTAAAATATAAGAGATATCACTGTACCACTCTGAGAAAATCATGTTTAGGGGAACATTCATATTGTTTTTTTTGCTTCGTGGTTGGCCTGGTTGTCGAATTTAATACACTTCGATCAATTTGCAAGTATCCCTTTATGTTGATGCTAGTTGCGGTGAAAGACACCACATAGTACCTCATGAGCCCCGCGAAACTTTTTTCTATTCTATAATAAATGGGCCGGGAGGGTCGACCTTGTGGGGTCTTGTAAAAAGAAAAAAAAAGAACACGGGGCAGCAGAAGACCCACCCGGTGTTTTTCACCGGGTGTAGCATCGAAGGAACCTTAAATACCCCATCCCCATCAACCCGACCCCACCCGGGCGCCACCCCGGGCCGGGCCCTTGGTTGGATGAGAAGGGTTTTGGTCTAAGCACGAGACTGTAGGTAGACTTCACACACACACACACAGAAGATCTAGAAGTTAAAGCAAGAATCGAAAAGTCTACGCACCAAGTCATCCAATCACATATCCTAACCCCACTCTCTTCTCCATTTTTACACTTTGCATATATAATACATATATCATCATCATATATATGTTAGGCATTTCTTGGGCCCCACTAAAAATTCCTTAGCCACCACTGATATATATACAAAGATCAATCTAATCTGCACCATCTACGAACCTTCTCACTACACAACCACGAAACTTACTACCTTAACTGAGCTTTCATACACCGGCTTATATACACCAATGCAAGCTCAACCCGATACAAAAATGTCCGGTGCCTCTTTCGGTTTCCACGGCTCCTCATCGGCCGGTGGCCATTATAGCGGCCAGTATACAAATTTCGACGTTTCTGATTTCTTCGACTTTGATCAAGACTTCTCTTCATTAATTAATCCGGCAGGTAATTATAATGATATTCCTAATCATGATCTGGAATATTGTTATACCACTAATGAAGTTGGACTCGTCGACTCCACTCGAGTTAGCAGCAGCAGTAGCTCCCCTGAAGCCATGACCATCAATAACCGTAAGCAATTCACTTCATATATATTTTATGTATATATATCGTAAATTATATATATACATGTCGTGGCGATTTCGAACAAAATGTTTTTGTGTTATTCAGGAGAGACGAAGAAGGAAACTAGAGATAAGGTTGCTTTCAGAACGAAGTCGGAGATTGAGATACTTGATGATGGATTCAAGTGGAGGAAGTATGGAAAAAAGATGGTCAAAAATAGCCCAAATCCAAGGTACTAGCTTTTAGCTATAATTAAATTAATTTATCAGTAATATCTTCGAAAATTATATATTTTGGCAAACTATATATATATTGACGAATGTATCTTGTAATGAACGAATAGGAACTACTACAAATGCTCGGTGGAAGGGTGTGTGGTGAAAAAGAGAGTGGAACGAGACAAAGAGGATCAACGGTATGTGTTAACTACGTACGAGGGAATCCACAACCATCAAGCAGCTGGCTCTACGTTTAGAACATGATCAGAATTAATCATTGAATTTTCATTATGTTGAATTAATTACGTTTAGAACATGATCAAAATTCAAAGTAGGTTAATTAGAGGAGCAAACGGAGACAATTTGCTGTAATTTTTTTTAAGCATTGCCAATTTGTTTCAGTGTGTATTCAATTATTGATATATCATGTTTCTCCTGGAAAAATAAAAGAAAAGGTAAAAATTTAAATTGACAAAATGTTTTATTTGTGGTAAATATAAATTTATTGTGTGTGATAATGTGTGTTTTAAGCGGTAATTAAATACTACGCCTGATTATTTATATGGAGCGAATTTCACCCATAGATCTAAATATAATCACACACACTCATTAGTATGTATATTTAATGGATGGTTATGTAATCAGATTGACGTTTGAATCCACCTGATGTTAATAACATGGAGTTTCATGAAATCCACTTGTTTATTTACACATGGTAGATTTGAACCGAAAGTTTAATTAAATAATTTTCCACTAAATACACATACACATAAGGGTCTGTAATTATGTGTAGAACTACGGTTCAAATTCATCATGTATAAATAATTACAGTGGCGGTACCAGGGGGGGCAGGGGGGGGCAGTTGACCCCCCAAGAAAAAAAAAAAAATTTTTTTTTAGCTATTTTGACCTAATATTTTTCGAATATTACTTTTGGCCCCCCCAAAGATTTTCTAAATATGTGTCTTAACCTTAAATTTTTTGTTTATTCTTCATAATTTTATATAAATTATAGATATATATGATATTATAGATATGTGTCGTAATTTTTTTCGCAGTATAAACCTATTTTTTCAATGTTTTGCGAACCTAAATTTTTTTTCGGGGCGTTGCCCCGAACCCCAAAATTTTAGTCAGCCCCCCCTACTTTCTAATCCTGGTTCCGCCCCTGAATAATTAGATATAACATTTAAGTTCCCGTAAAATAACGAGTGTAACATCTAACTCCCCATGTTTTGAGTTTAGTAGCTACACTATATAAGTTAAAAAAATGTTGAAAATGAAATTTTACCATAAAAGACCAATACATGAACAATGCTGAGAAAAGAGATCACGTGTCATGAACAGATTAGCATGGAAATATATCTACTTTAATTAATTAATTTATGTTGTTGGTGTGAATTAGAAACTCGTAAAATAAACTGAATTTTGATTAATGGCGAACAATTAACGGCCGAATTTTAAAACAAAAAGTAAAGCGTGGTCATATACATATCCGCTAGACTGACAAGTGAAACGTGGCCACACAAACGCCGCAGGAATTTTGCATGCTGAAAGATAAATCACAGCGAAAATACGCAACTCCGTCATCTTCAGCTGACGATTCCACGGTAACAATGGCGGCAGTTAACGGCGGCATTGTGGATTCGATTGTCCAGGTGCCCTACGAGGCCACCGTACGCCTCATGCTCGGTTCGCTCGAGCGGAATCTGTTGCCCGACGCCGTCGTGCGCCGCCTCACTCGGCTCCTTCTCGCCAGTCGCCTCCGCTCCGGTTACAGATCCTCCGCCGACATCCAGCTGTCCGATCTCCTCAATTTTGTGCATTGTAAATTGCTGAACTCTGTGCTATCGTTTATTTCCCTTTTTTTGGTAGAAATTAGCGTCAATTTGTTTTCCCCCCTTTTTATCTCACACGAACAAAGTTACTGTTGATTATGATTATGATTAATCCAAATCGGAAACTGATTACTGTGAATTAATTATCTGTGGCAGCTTTGAAAGAAATGCCGATAGCAATCCAGACAGAAACGCCAAAGTCTCAACATTACGAAGTTCCTACATCTTTCTTCAAGCTTGCCCTCGGCAAACATCTCAAATACAGGCAAGATAATTAATTTTCTGTATATTCTCTTCGAATTAATTTAATTTATACTGCAATTGTTAAGAACAACATCTGAAACTCATGGGTTGAATTGATCTGATCTGGTTTTGAAATTTTGTGCAGTTGCTGCTATTTTTCAGATAAGTCAAGCACTTTAGACGATGCCGAGAAGGCAATGCTTGAGTTGTACTGTGAGAGATCGCAGATAAAAGACGGTCATTCCGTTCTCGATGTCGGTTGTGGCTGGGGATCTCTTTCCCTATACATTGCTCAGAAATACCCCAATTGCCTGATCAAAGGGATTTGCAATTCCATTACCCAAAAGGAACACATCGAGGAGCAGTGTCGGTAATTTCGCCTAATTTTTAACATGCAGATACTCTGAGTTAATCGATTTTTATATCAACATGTGGATAATCTTTCGAAGACCAATGCCTCTTAACTACGTACACTTGTTTTTTATTGCAGGGATCTTCAAGTAAAGAATGTGGAGATAGTTGTTGGAGATATCAGCACGTTTGATATGGAAGCTTCTTATGACAGAATATTTTCCATTGAAATGTTTGAGGTACCGATTCGTTGCTTGATTCAAGTATTATTATTATTAATTACTATTGGCCATGCTCGTGAAATTTTTCTTTCTTCGATCACTTAATACAGCATATGAAAAACTACCGTGATCTTCTTAAGAAGATATCCAAGTGGATGAAATCGGACGGTCTTCTGTTCATCCATTATTTCTGCCATAAAACATTTGCTTACCACTTTGAGGTAATTGTAGCAAATTATGTGGCTTCTTTTTATTTATTTTTTCTTTTTAACTCGAAGAATGATTTTTTTTTTTTTATTAATTATTTTGCAATGCAGGATGTCAACGAGGACGATTGGATCACTAGGTACTTCTTTACTGGAGGTACAATGCCCTCAGCAGACCTGCTCCTTTACTTTCAGGTGAGCTGCCTGTATGTATTTTGTAATTCAGTCATTCATTATTAAAGACGATCATATGAGTAATATAACGCAGTGCTAAGTCTCTAACGTTGGCTTATTGTGATGCCTTTTGTGCAGGATGACGTTTCTATAGTCGATCACTGGCTTGTGAATGGCAAGCATTATGCACAGACAAGGTATACAATTTTGAAAATCGATATAAACTGAGATTGTAAAACTCGAGAATCTAACCAAACAATCTTGTTTTCAGTGAAGAATGGCTTAAGAGAATGGACCAGAATTTGAGCTCAATAAAGCCATTAATGGAGTCCACTTATGGTAAAGATTCAGCTGTCAAGTGGACCGTCTATTGGAGAACATTTTTCATTGCGGTTGCGGAATTGTTCGGCTACAACAATGGAGAAGAATGGATGGTTGCTCATTTCCTTTTCAAGAAGAAATAAAAAAGCTAACGTAACAGGTCACAAATGCAAAAAAAAATGCTACTGAGTGTTTGAAAGTCGATGAACCGTTTGTTCCAAACATCGATATGTTATTGTTGATGATGACAATATTCTCTACTGTGTGAGATGTGCTCATAAGTAGACATTGATTTTTTTACATCGTTTTCGTTTAATAAAGCTGATGAATTCCCTCCACACAAACCAAAACTGGTAGTCGTACTTGTATTTTAACTCTTCCTCATTGATCGCAGTATATGCACGTAGCCCTATTACAAAACAGGGGGAAAAACGTAAAACATAATGATCTGTTTTCAAGAAATGCAAAATAATCGAGCAATTCAAACCGTTCGACAAGTATCTGCAGTAGCACTCTTGTGGTCCAAATCCGAGAATAAATAGTCATTCAGTGTCTGATCTATAGATACAACTCTTTATTATGTTCAAGTCAATCTTCAATGTGCAGAAAGGCAATATAGTAAGTGCGAATGTATAACTACATATTTCATCACAACACTATAATTTCAATCCGAATAACACTTGTCATAAAGCATCGAACATCAACTACATTCAAAGAAAAACATTTCGGGATTGTTCCAGTACTTTGAAAGTTCGATGCATAGAACCGATATTAGTGTCTTTAAAGAAGTGGTAATGGAAGAATATGTCAGCTTATGTATCATCTTCATACAAAAACACCTAACGTAACTATCGAAATTCAGACATCATCCGACACCTAGAAATGTGTCGTGATAACACTATCATAACTAGGTATGGAAATTAACCGCGTTTCACAGATGACGAAAAAAAATCATTGATCGAGTGTAATGATCTTATACAACAAATTAAAGCTCATCGATTTCCAGCATTTACCTCTGATTAAAAAGAATTTTCAAGAGACACCGGAGGCACTTTTGAATTGAGCTGGATTGTTGAAATCCATTACGCCATCGGCATCCAAGAACCGACTTAGATGCTTATCATCCAAATGTTTCTGAAAATGAAAATATCAGGCCAAGATTAACTATATTAATTTCAGTATAGAAATAAATTTTTACAACATATAAGAGAGCTGAGAGCTTACTGACAAACACTCTCTGTATTTATCCCACTCAGAAACACACTCCATTTTATCCCATTGACCCTTCAAGAACTTGTCCGAATACCACCTACAAATCAAATCAAATCAAATCAAATCAACCCATTATAATTTAAGGATTATGATTGTATCCATCAAAACATTCAATATACAAGAACCAAAATACTCCTTTGCCAAGAAATGAAATTACCCAAATTTTCTATTTACCACAAGTATGAAAAACAAAAACCCAGAAAGAAAAGAAGAAAAATAAACTGAAATTAAACCTGTTGAAGCAATTGTGATAAGCAGTACGGAAATTGGCGCAAGGTGAAGTTGCCGAAGAAGAGGGCCGATTTTTGTCTCCCATAATCCCCATTTTTCAACTGGTTTTCTCACGCATTAATCATTCCCAAACATTTTGCTCTATTATATTTTTCTTCCATTAATTATTGGGAAATTTACAGTTTTGACCCCTCAAGTTTTCACTGATTTCATATTTGGTCTCTTGTGTTCACAAAAAAACACATTTGGTCCCTCATATTTTAATAATGTAGCACGTTTGTCGTTTCCGTCAATTGACCGTTAGTTGGATAGTTAAGGCGGTCATATGTACACAGTTGATTCGGTTAGTACTAACGGAAAATTAACGAAAATGACTAAAAATATTTAATTTTAAAACATAAAAGACCAAATGTGTTGTGTGAACATGAGAGGCTAAATGTGAAATCTGTGAAAACTTGACGGATCAAATAAACCGGGTTGTCTGACCCGGCCCATTTACTTGCACGTTGCACCCGGATTTCTATACACGTATCGCTTGTGTATCACTTATCACTAAAAGATAGATTCATAGTTTCAAACGAAACCAAAATTAACGTAGGAAGGATTGATTCACTTTCGCAGATTGCAGCAATGGCAGAGCTGAAGAACCAAAAATACGCCCAATTCAAAGGGCAGCCGCGTCTCCCCAAATTCGCCATCCCTAAGCGCTACGATCTCAAATTAAAGCCTGATCTCGCTGCTTGTAAATTCTCCGGCGCCGTTCAAATTTCGGTCAACATCGTTTCCGCCACCAAGTTCCTCGTCCTCAATGCCGCCGAACTCTCCGTCAAACCTAATTCCGTCACTTTCACATCTGATAATAAGGTAAAAGCACATTGTCCTCTGTGTTTTTCGTTTTTTTTTTCTCGTCAGGAAGTTTGATATTGATAAGGAGTTTGTTCATCTGATATACATCTGATTTCTACGGCTAGATTTCATGGTTAACTTTGTAGTTGAATTATCCTTGGTCAACATAACCTTTGTGATTTTATTTTAGCTTTTGTTCTCTTTTATATATGATCCATTTGGATCTAATATTGACATTTACTAGACGATAGGGAGAAGGAAATCAGAATTATTCGTTTTATTCTGTAAATAACTTTTGAATCATTATTGAACTTGGTTATTGGATGTATTTCCTTCATGTTTCGGTATTAGCTTGAAGAAATAAATAGATACATTCCAAAACACTTGTTTACATTAAATTTTGCTGGAAACTTTCAGGTGGTGGAAGCTCTCGAAGTGGAGTTATTCGAAGAGGATGAGATAGTGGTGCTGGAGTTTAAGGAGAATTTGCCAATTGGTCTTGGGGCTTTGGACATGGAATTTGACGGGACCCTAAACGATAGAATGAAAGGGTTTTACAGAAGGTGATTTTATCAGCTTTATTCATGTATTATATGCAATTCTTTGCAAGCATTCTTTATTATTTTCCATTTTCATTCTAATGCAGCTCGTGGCACATATCACATCAACTCTTATAGCTTCCTCCATTTTCCGATTTTGGCTGTATGATTGGAGTTACATTCATTTATATTGAGAAATTCTGCCGGTACTAACATTTTGATGCCATAATTCAGCACCTATGAGCACAACGGTGAGAAGAAAAATATGGCTGTTACACAATTTGAGCCAGCTGATGCTAGGCGGTGCTTTCCTTGTTGGGATGAACCTGCTTGCAAGGTACTTACAGTATATTTTTTTTATCCTCATGGATGTTTGCATTTAAATTTTTCGTTACCTTCTTGCTCGTGCATCGGTCTATTCTTACTTAAACTAGCTTCATTTTTTTCCGCAAAATAATGAGTGTATATCCCATTTTCTCTTACCTGCAATTCAGGCTACTTTCAAGATTACATTGGAAGTACCGTCGGATCTGGTAGCTCTTTCGAACATGCCAGTCACCGAGGAAAAACTAAATGGCAATCTTAAGACAGTGTACTATCAAGAATCACCAATCATGTCCACTTATTTAGTGGCAGTTGTCGTTGGCCTCTTTGACTATGTTGAAGATCGTACACCTGATGGTATATTTTCGAGTTTTTCATTTATCTCATGATAGTGCGTGCTATCTCATTCATGTCAGTGTTTCACTCTTGATGATGTTATACTATGTTTTCCCAGGAATCCTTGTGAGGGTATACTGTCAGGTTGGCAAGGCTAGCCAAGGGAAGTTTGCCTTGGATGTTGCTGTCAAAACACTTGGCCTTTATAAAGAGTATGTACGATGCATAAAAGTGATTAGCTGATACTTTATTTAATGCTTTAATTGTTATCGATGATATATATGTCACGCAGTACCATATTCTCTTTGGAGCTCGTGTAGATGTGGATTTGTTGACTCATCGCTTGTTAATTGAAAATTTTCAGGTACTTTGCTGTGCCATATTCACTTCCGAAATTGGACATGATTGCAATTCCTGATTTTGCTGCTGGAGCAATGGAGAATTATGGTCTTGTTACATACCGGGAAACAGCACTGCTTTACGATGAGAAGCACTCTGCAGCTGCAAACAAACAGAGGGTAAAATGAACCCCCCTCGATATAAATCAGTTTTTGCCTATATTAAAATGCATTAATTGCTTTAAGTTTCTTCGTATAATTATTGTATTGTTTTTCTTTTTAAGGTTGCCACTGTTGTTGCTCATGAACTAGCACACCAGTGGTTTGGCAATCTTGTGACAATGGAATGGTGGACACACTTATGGCTGAATGAGGGATTCGCTACATGGGTATCGTCTTACATTTCAAGTTTAGATTTGTGTTCAATTGATATAAACAACAGTTTATTATTAATATTTGGTTTATGGAATTCAGGTTAGCTATTTAGCGGCTGATAGCTTGTTCCCAGATTGGCAAATTTGGACTCAGTTCCTTGATGAATGTACTGAGGGACTCCGACTCGATGGTCTAGCAGAATCCCACCCCATCGAGGTGAATGTCAAAATGTTTATTTTTGTTATTAACATATATTGAGCAATGATAATTTTTTTTTTATGTTTTCTTTGTTAATATGTATCTTGGAATCTTCTTTCAGGTGGATATTAATCATGCTGGTGAAATTGATGAAATTTTTGACGCAATCAGTTATAGGAAAGGCGCATCTGTCATTAGGATGCTACAGAGCTATCTTGGCGCTGAAGTTTTTCAGGTAAGTTATTTAGTTTTAAAAGTTACTTCACTTCTAATTAGTTAGTGTTTCTTCCAATTTTTCAAGTTAATATTCGTTCTTTATTTAACCTAAGTTTATTTTAAGTTTGCTATCCATTCTTGATAAAACTGGGACAATTATATTGTATATTGTCCGAATATATTCGTCTAGTGAACAACATATCGATTATTGAGTGTGAGTGTTCACATATTGTGACATCTTGTAGAGGGCACTTGCTTCCTATATCAAAAAATACGCTTGCTCAAATGCAAAGACAGAAGATTTGTGGTCAGTTCTTCAGGAAGAATCTGGTGAACCTGTGAACAAGCTGATGGACTCTTGGACAAAACAACAAGGTTATCCCGTTGTCTCGGTCAAAGTCAAAGGCCAAAGTTTGGAGTTTGAACAGGTTATGTGATTGATTGATGACCCACTTCTTTGACTGATTGTTTGTGTTACTTCTGGAAATTCTGACAGCTGTTTGTATTTTGTTGATTGACAGTCACGATTTTTGCTGAGTGGTTCTCTTGGTGAAGGGCAATGGATTGTACCAGTAACTCTGTGTTGTAACACTTACGATGCTCGTAAAAATTTCTTGCTGCAAACAAAAAGTGAAACTCTTGATATTAAGGAATTATTCGGTGCCTCAAATTCATCAGACCGCCCTTGGATTAAAGTAAATCTTGACCAGACTGGTTTCTATCGGGTGAAGTATGATGAAGACCTGTCAGCTAGACTTAGGGATGCAATAGAGAAGAAGCACTTGTCCACCTGTGATAAATATGGTAATTCTGATTTTATTACCTTTTTTTTTGGGTCTTCTTTAATTCTTAAATGGAATATTGAACACAGTTTATTCGTCTGAGCAGGAATATTGGACGACTACTATTCATTGTCTATGGCATGCCAACAATCCTTGACCTCTCTGCTTGCTTTGATGAGTGCCTACAGAGACGAGCTCGATTACACAGTCCTATCTAACTTGTTATCGGTAAATGTTCTCTCTTTTAGGTTTAGTGTTTGTCTTTCAGGATTTCTTTTGCTCCGAAAATTAATTTCATTGATTTATATTTTTTCTTGTTTCTGCAGATAGCTTCTAAAGTGGCAAGAATCGTAGGCGATGCTGCACCTGAGTTGGCTGATAACATCAAACTCTACTTCATCAACCTTTTCCAGAATTCTGCTGAGTATGTATACAATTAATAATAATTAATAAAATTATATTTTAATGTTTAGAAATATATTAATTACGGCTGCCGTTTCATTTACCAGGAGACTTGGTTGGGATCCTAAGCAAGGAGAGAGCCACCTCGATGCAATGCTAAGGGGGGAGCTATTAACAGTATTGGCTTCGTTTGGACATGACTTAACACTAAATGAAGCAAACAGGCGCTTCCGCATCTTTTTGGATGACAGAAATACCCCTGTTCTTCCCCCTGATTTGAGAAGGGTTAATAGAACAAAACTCAACCTCATCTGTAATTAAGATTCGAGAAACTTGTCCATTACTTTTTCTGACGGCCCTTTTTCTTCTTTTTTCCAGGCTGTATATGTCGCTGTTGTGCGAAGTGCTACTAAAGCAGACAGATCCAGCTACGATTCTCTTCTGAGAATTTACAGAGAAACTGACCTTAGCCAGGAGAAAACACGAATTTTAGGTACAATTTTCATCATTTTGAGTATTTATTAACTATTAATTTTGTGACTTATTCTGCAAAATCACTAATGCATTGCCTTCTTTCCCCTAGGTTCATTGGGTTCGTGCCGGGATCCTGAAATTATCCAGGAATTTCTTAACTTCTTGTTATCTCCCGAGGTACAGTTTTGATATTCATGAAATTAGTAATTGAGATTCTTAGTTCCAAACAATCTTCTAGAAGATTCTTTGATGTTGCTTCTTCTAGTAATTAGTAATTAGTAATTTCTCTTCTTCCCTTTGTTCTAATGTAGGTCAGGAGCCAAGATGCTGTTATGGGACTGTCTGTCAGTGGTGACGCTCGTGAAACAGCATGGAATTGGTTGAAAGTAAGTTCCCATAGTTGTCTATTTACCTAAATACCCCCCATTTTTCCAAAGGACTATGCTATATTTTGATTAAAATTTCCGACATTTTACATTGCTCAATTGATATGTGGGTGGATTACAGGAGCATTGGGACCATATCAATAAAACTTACGGAGCTGGATTCCTAGTAACTCGCTTCATCAGTGCAGTTGTCTCACCGGTTTGTGCTATTCAATTTTTTGTATAAGCTTTTATGGTACACCACGTCGTATTATTACATATTTACTTTGATAATTGCCCTTTTTACCCCTTGTCTATTATTTCCCACAGTTTTCATCTTACGAAAAGGCAGAAGAAGTACAACAATTCTTCGCCACTCGTATGAAGCCTTACATTGCAAGAACATTGAAGCAGAGCATCGAAAGGGTTCACATTAATGCAGCTTGGGTCAAAAGCATTCAAAGTGAGAAACATCTTGCTGAGGCTGTTCAGGAGTTGGCATACAGAAAATATTAGAAGATATTTCCTTTAAGACGGTGCTTTAATTTTCGTTGTGCAAAAACTTTATAGAACAGAAAACAATAAATTTACGAATGAACCGTTTTCATATTTCATGACTTTTGATGCAAGTTGGGGTCTGTTTTCGACTTTTATCGATCAAATTAATACTTTCTTGGGTATTATATTGTATTCCAGATGCTAGTGGAATGTGTGGATCAATGCATCAACGAAAAATAAATAAATGTGACGTACATTGCGAAACTATTTTCAAAGGGCATTTCATTCATTCTTCCAAATTCTCTACACTTAGAATAGCTACATTGCATAGGCAGCAAATGGAGATGAATTTCGAGACTCCGAACGAGTTTTTCCAGAGCGTTAAACGCCTACTATTACATACAAATTAAGAACTGCATTTCTAGTGAAGAATCTATAACAGCCCTTGATGAAAAACACATGGGCACAATTCCAAATTCTCCATTCTTTGATTAAAAAAAAAAGAAAGAAAAGAAAAATAATAAAAAAAGAAAAAAGAAGAGAGAAATTTATGCTAATTTCTGCTCTTGGGCTTTCTCTGAGCCCTTAGATCTACCACAACTACAGAGATATTATCCTTGCTGCCCTTTTGAAGCGCGCGATTCGACAGGTACTCGGCCGCTGCTTGAGCTGCAGGATCGATTCCTTCGCCCCTTTCCGATGGAAGTGTGGGCCCGTTATTTCTATGCCATAGTAATATTCTTTTACGAGCCATGTCGCAAACCTCCTCGTTTGTCATAACATCCCACAACCCATCACTTGCCAGAATCAGACATTCGTCCTCTTTCGCTCGTGGCACAAACATTACTTCAGGATCCGGAATTATCCACGGCTTCAAATATCGATCTCCTAAAATGTTTTGCCATAATATACATATATTGTTATTCTATAATTAAAGCTAAATAAATAGATCCAAATATACTTACTAGAGTGACGGACTTACCGATAGACCTCGACATTGCAAGAACACCAAACACACGATGCCCGTTCCACTGTATTACCTTCCCTCCAGCCGCTTCGATTCTTGCATATTCATCTTCTCGGTTTGGCTATAGTGGATATACGAAATTAAAATTTTAAAATATAATCAAAAAAAAAAAAAATGGGAGCAAAAATTAAAAATTAAACTATACCTTATGATCGACAGAGAGGGCCACCGGTTCTTTGCCACGGCAGAGCACAGCCCTCGAATCACCGGAGTTGGCCACTATTATATGCGAAGAGCAAACTAGGGCAACCACAGAAGTGGACCCCACAGTTTCCGGAGCAATAGGTTCTTGACCATTTTGCCCTCCAATCTCATCATCAACCTTGATAAAACACTTTGTGAAAGCCCTTCTCCATATCTCTTCACAGCTCTCCTTATTACTACTTCCATTAGTCACTAAAATTTCCAACTCCTCCATTAATGCAGTATGCATACGATCTCGACAATAATTAGCAACCTTAAAAAAAACAAATAATATTTCAAATAATGCATCTCAATTCACAAGTTTCAATTGAGTGTATATATATATATATATATATATATATATATATATATATATATACACATACATACATACATACATACATACCTGAGATCCTCCATGGCCATCATAGACTCCAAAGAAATGGCCCGTCAAATGACTTAAACAGGCCGACACTCCATCAATAACTCGATTTCCAATAAGCATCTCGAGAGGAATCTTTAATAACCGAGGCACAGTCGCAACGGAATCTTCCATTTCGGGCCTCCTACCACAAACAGATGTAAAACCCCAAAGAGGCACACAATCCACCTCAAATATACTCCGGCTTGTCCGAATGCTTACCCCTTTAGTATTATTATTATTATCTAACTGAGGATCGACCAATTTCAAAGTGGGGTCCACAGATAGCGAATCACCCACCACCAAATCTCTCGTATTGGAAATAAGCTCAACGCCACATAAGCTCTTATCGACCTCCAAAAAGTGGGCCCCGATTTCAGAATTTGGATCAAAGCCCAATAAATCGTCGCCACATAGACTACTAGTATCACTCACCACAGACAAAGAGCACGAGCTGTCAAGAATTGGATCGCCCTCCAACGAAGATCCATCTGTAGCCAGCCAATTGCCTTCATCTTCTGAAGTCACCGCCATTACAGAAGAAACTCCACTCCTCAAAACCGTAAAACTAACTTCACTTTCGGAATCACCGAAACTACAATCCTCATTGTCACCATCTACCGAATTACCGGTGCTTTTAATCTCGGAATCGGGGAATAAGCTATCTCGATCGGCCATCAAATTGAAGTTCATTACATTTACATCCATACAACTTTTTCCTTTTTTCAAGAATCAGAGGATTGTAAAAAGATTCGAATTACCTAACTTAAATGGCAATGCAACAACCACCGCCCCATACGTATCCTCCATCGAAATCACTATCTAAACAGCAAAAGCTAACCCACCGCCCATCTTGACTTAATCGACCTGTCGTTGTTCTATAGTACGACGAAAAAATCTAGAAGTGAAAATGGATGAATTGTCGGCATTTCCACAATATATCTATGTGTGTGTATGTATGTATGGAGAAGGTTACGGAAACTTCGATTCGGCGATGATGGATCGAAGCATCGCAATCAACTGAAAGAGGGGTTTTAAAATATGAAGTGAGTTGTCAGATCTGGTGAGCTAGAAACTAGACACCAACTACCATCCGTGAAAAAAAAAAGTGTCACCATGAATATAACTTCTCTGGAAATCTTGCCTTCTTTATTCTCTGGACTCTTCTTCACTTATCTACCTCCACCAAGCAAACAGAAATAAAATTACAATTAGGGCAGATCCTTTCAAATTCAACCAATCATCAAACAGAAAACAGAGGAAACAAAAATAAAATTAAAAATTCAATAATGAAAAATTAGCTCCAGAAAATGAGAGAAACAACTAATTAATGAAAAAGTTGAGCAAAAGTTTGAAGAATCACAGGGAAATCCTGACAAAGAAAAAAAAAAAAAAAACTTTAGAGTAACCTGGATCTGAGGCAATCCATGTCAACCCTTTATTCAAATCGTGAGCCGCTTTCTATTAAGTCTGAACTCTCTCTTTCAATTAGTAAATTGCTTTACTTACTTGCATCAGTATACAATCAAAGAAATTGGGGAACACTATTCATTATTATAATATTAATAAAATAATTAATAATAATTGATGAAAGGTAAATGAGTTGAAAAAGGAGCTAACCACAACCACTACACAATTTTCTTACTATAAATCAATCACCCTCCTTTCACTTTCATCAACATCTGCCGGAAACACGAGGGCAAAAGTGAAATAAATATTTGTTGGAAAAACAAAAAATCAGGTGCTGCTAATAAATTGTCAAACGAAGAAATTTCATTTTGAGAAAATAAGTGGAGTGGGGGAAGAGAGAAATGATTAAAGAAAAGAATAAACAGCTATCAATTATTTATCAGTATTATTTATTTATTTAATTATTATTATTATTATTGGCTTAATAAAAAAAGATACTATCTCGAGAAAAGAGAGAGAATGGTTGGGCGAGATATATGCCAGATGTCCAATTCAGATGAGCATATTAAAGCATCTCCATCCAATCCCCTTTATTTACTTATTTAATTAATGAAATGCTATTTACGGATACAAAATTGCTATTTGCGGTTTATAATAAAACCCCCCAAAACTTTTCAAAAAAATCAAAAAACCCCCCAAACTGCAAATAGCAAAAAAAAAAAAAAACAAAATTCGAAAATTCGAAATCAAGCTTGAAGAAAGGTTGGTCTTCGATTTTTTGATGTAATTTCAACTATTTTATGTGTAATATGCATTGGGTAGGTCGATTACGTAACCAATTTCATGTTAAAAAGCCCTACAAATCGATTTGTAGGGTTTTTTTTTCGCAAAAACATTTTGGAACGCCCAAGATGGGCGCCCAAATGCAGCTTGCACGCCCAACTTGGGCGTGCACTGCATGAATGGGCGCTCAAGTTGGGCTTTTACGCGTTTTGAGGGGGGGTTTTTGGATTTTTTTGGAAAGTTTTGGGGTTTTAGAGAGATGAAGTGTTTTTTGTTATAAACCACAAATAACAATTCCCTTTAATTATTATATTTGATATTTGCTAACTATTTAATGGGTATATGAATCCAGTCCACTTTGGATAAATTGTATAAATGAGTTGAATCGAATTGAATTTATTTTATATTTTTTAAGTAGTATATTAAGATATTTTGTTTTGATGAGTTGACCTTAATTAAAATTTAGTAGGATATTATACATAATGAGTGTATGCCCAAATTACAATCAACCTGATCAACTATGTGTTGTCTTACGAAAAGAAAACTTGTTCAATAGATAAACTGAAATGATTTGTGCAGGCACAAATTAAACATTCAGGCACATTTTTTACCATTTCTCAAAAAACAAAAGGTAAAAAACTCAAAAAACTCTCTCTACCCTTTCGATTTTCGTTCGCAAAGCCCGTGCAAATCGTCAACAGATCGGAGGTAATTTTTACGTTTTTACGATCCTCTTGTTATGTAGATTACGAATCCGAAAAAAAAACGAAAAAAAACGATACTTGGGAACGCTCGCGCGATTTCACGCGAGCGCATCCACTTCGCTCGCGTAAAATCGGGCGAGCGTTTCAATTTTAATTTTTTTTTTTTTTTTTTTTTTTATAAATTTATTGCTTAAAAAACCGGCTTTTAAGTTGCTCGCGAGAGATAATGAATTAGAATTAAAAAAATAAACAAATAAAAAATAAACACCCTATTTTCCTTCTAATAAAACAGTTACAGGAATTAACGCAAGATTAAAAATAAATATTTTACCGATATATCGTTCGAAGTTTGACCCGATATATCGGTTTGACGCGTCATAGACCGCGACAGACCGCCTCGGACCGCCTCACCGTCAAAAAACCGATTTTCAAAACCGCCACACAC